GGTGGGGGCTGCGGGGCGCGCCCAGGTGCGGGGCTGGGTTGGGTGTGCAGCCGGCGCCGAAAACGGAGCCTTTGGAAACCTCGCCTGTAGAGCTGGTGCCCGTAATTCTTTCAGTTTGCTGCCTGTGTTTTCCACGGCTCACTCGGCGCTCGGGTCCCCGCAGTCAGTGACGGAGGGATGCCTTTCCGGGGCGGGGTGCGCTCCGTGCACCGACAGCGGGCCCGGCAGCTCCCGGAGCCTCCCGTTCGCCCCTGCACGGGGCTTGTCCCGAGAGCTGCGCACGGAGCTTTCGGGCGCCTGTTCTGAGAGCCTGGCGCTCTGTGGCTAGGTGCAAGTTGTGTTGAAATAGGTGATGGTCTAGGGAGGCTGCCGCGTGCTTTAAATTTGCTTTCATGTATTGGATCAATCCTCGTAACTAAAGTTTGGCTACGGTAGAGAGCTTGAAAGGCAGCCAGTGATGAAAGGAAGCACCTGAAGCTGACTTGTACTCAGAAGTTGTCGTGAAGTAATAGAGTGGGAATGATTTAAATGTCTTCTACTGTTCTGTTCCAGGCTTGTAAATTTTGCCACTTTTCTGCAATGGATAAAAGATAACTGAATGTTTCAATAAACGTTCAGGTAGTTTGCATCTGATGTTTCTTTTTGACACCAGCAGGCAGCTCCTCTAGGAGCAGACTGTATTAATACTGTGTAGTGTAATGTAATTAATACTGTGCTATTAATGAGCAGCAGGTTTCTGTCAAATCATCCAGGCACTGTCTGAAAAAAATCATGCCTAAACATCCCTCATCCTGGCCAGTCAGTCAATAACTTCCTGCATATTGGGAGAGAGAATGGACAGCTGGAGTGGTGATTCCTGACAGAAGAACTTCTCAGAGCACCTGGGATTTTTATCTTACCCCAGCCTTGTATTTATTTGGGATCATAACATCTGCCCTGCAGCAACTTTGGTGAGCATGCCTGGAAGTGCTGTGGGTGTGCTGAGCTACTGCCACTTCCATGCCCTGTGTAGCTGGCCAAGTACTGGCTTTGGGGCTCCTGGCCCTGTCACCCCTGCTGTTGCCTGAGCTGTCTGGGTGTGTCCGCTTAGCCCTGCAATTTGGGTGACCGGTTTTCAGGAACAGGCACACAGGAGTAAGTTTTTATGGGACAATGCCAACTTGGCAGCTTAGCCATCACTCAGAGCACCCTGTCTGCAAGAGAGCTGTGTCCCAGTTCTGTGTCATTGTACAGAGGATATATAAAAGAGCAAAGTGGGCTTTGGTTGCAGATGCCCTCTGATACAGAGGAGGAGCTTGCAGGAACTGGAAACACAGACGTGTTCAGATTTCCTTCATGATGGAAGCATTTTCATGATCTGTGTAGTTACTCTGCAGTAGCTGTCTGTCCCCCACCACTCCCTGGGTCACTGTGTGGACAAATGTGAAGTTAGAAAAGCTCAGTTTGCCATGTATAATGCTTAGTGAATTGTCTCTTTGAACAGAAGGAAGCCTTGGGCTTGCTTTTCTAGGAAAATAGCCCAGAATAGTTGTGTCTTCCTGCCTGAAAAACACAGTTTACCCTGACAAGAAGTGTAGGCAAAGACGAGCTGCCACCTGCTGGCTCCATGAGGCTCTGGGCCGGGGGATGTCTCTCATTCTTGGGGCAGGACAGCCAGGATCCTGTGCCCTACCCCAGGCTGGGGCTTTGGAAGCCTCAGGTGGGTTTCTAAAAGCTTTCTGCTAAGAATGGCACCATTGGGTTGTCCAGCAGACATATAAGGCATTACAAAAATATCCTAAGGAACCTGCTGGGATTATGGTAATATTTATATTTACTCATATTTCTCCTTGCTTTGGTAAGTAAAGATAGCTCTTTCAAGTGGAGCACATTCTTCATAAACAGTTCTGTATAATCTTGCACACTGGAAAATAGAATTGTTGCCATCGTAGGGGTTCCCTGGGGAAATGCTCAGATTAGGCAGCTGGGAGGGTCTGGGGCCCCGAGAGGTGCAGGAATGCTGACAGCCCTGCAGACCCCCCTGCTGCAGACCCCCCTGCTGCCCCGGGTTCATCCAGAGGCTGGGGGGAAGGAGGCTCGTGAGGAGCAAATGAGATGAAAGTGAACTCTGCGAATGTGCTGGCCAAAGCCAGCTCAGTTTGTTTTTCATGATGTTGCTTCTATTTTAAAATCCAAGCCACGGAAGCCATTTACAGTGGACTTCAACAACACTGTCGTTTCCTGTGGGCAGTTTATATCTAAAGAGTTTCTCCTGTTTGGATCCCAAGAAATTGTATTCTTGAATATAACAGAAATTTCAGGGGGGGGACAAGAGGTGGAGTTTTTGAAAGATAATTGGAAGGTTGCTATTTTTAGACTACTTTGGTTTTTAAAAATATACTTTCAGAGAAGAAGGGAGAAAAAATATTTTGACTTATGGATGAAGGTGTGTGAAAGTTGCTTGACAGTCTTTCAAGTGATTATTCAGGTAATTATTGAATGGCATAAAGTAAAGTTACTCCTGTTTTTCATTTCTTTAGTTCTTCATTGATTTCCCAGGTGAGGGAATAATGGCAAAATTTTTTTCTCTGTGATGTCCAGCAGAATTTCTTAATTTCTGATTTTTCAGCTTCTCTTCTGCTTAACAGAGAGGATTGACATTTGATGGACTGGAAGTGATGGCTTTCTTTCCATTTCTCTAAATGTTTCTTACATGACTATGAAGTTGCTGGAGTGAAGAACTTTACATTATAGTTATATATCTGAAAAAGAGTATTAGCTCTTTGGACTTATATGCAATGTTCTCATTTTAAAGCTGAGAAGGATACTTAGAAGGAAACTAGCTCTGCTCATTAAAAAAAGGGCAAAGTATTTGCAAAGCCAAAATTGATGGTTACAGTTCTGCTCATGATTTTGCAGTAAGATCACACACACACATATATATGTATATATATAACAAATGTGCCACAAATATTCACAGGCCAAGTAACTGCTCCTTCTAAAAGTTTGTTATGCATGTGTCTCTATGCTGAACTGCTACAGCAAGTGATGGAAAGAAAATAGAGCACTGAGTGTGTTTAATGGGAGGTGAAAGGCTTGTTTGATTAGATTAGGGCTTCAGCTGGCCTTTATGCCCTTTTTAGGCAATGAGAATTCCTGACACTATGTTTTAAAACCTGATTTTTAGCATGTTGTGTGCAAGTGTTGTATATGCTGTGTTTTCTTTAGTAGGGAATGTTTCTGAGAGTCGTTGCCAAGCAATCTTGGTGTACTACAGACATGCTAAGCAGTGCTACCATCATACATTGTGGAGGTGTCTCACATGACACTTTCATGTTTAAAATAAAATATCCCTAATAGGTATTAGAAAATATGTCCAAAGCTCTTTACATTTTTATTTGCTAGGCCACATGTGATTCTGTTCTCGCTGAAGTGAAGCCTCAGTTACAGAAACTGTGTTTTTTGTTCAGCTGCTTTATTTTTCATGTTTGTGTGTGTGAACACTGTACCTGAGGATTTAACATGACTTCTTTGGTCATATACAAACAAGTGAGACTAAGGGCTGTGACCTGAAAATTAGTAAATGTATTACAAAGGATGAGTAGTTTTCCAATATGAAACATCCCATTGCAGTAAAGAAAAGGTAATTAATTCTGGATGACAGCGTTTTGTGGCAATTAATGGAAAGGAAATACAGCCTACATGAAAATAATGTATGGTTATGCAGTGCTACTCTCAAAGTAAGGGCAGCATTATTCTGCAGCTTGCTAACCATTTTGCTCCTTATAATTACCTTTTAAAATGACACCTTTTAATATTTGAATGCAAATGGACATGCAGAAATGTGGTAAATAGCAGTGTCTTGATGTAGGGCTCAGATGGTGCAGCCTGGTCACAAAGAGCGATGTGTAACCAGCTGCAGGAAATGTTTTTCTCCTGTGATCCTTTGTAATGGCTTGAACTGTAAGGAAGGGCAGAGCATTAAGGCTCCAGCAATGAGAAGTTCATATGCAGATTGTGCGGCATCAGCTAATTGTCCATCAGCTGCTTGCACCTGGAGAAACAAATACTACCAGACTATGAAAACTGTAGGAGGTTGCTTTCTAGGCCACAGAGTCTCTCCTTTAATCACTTTTGGAACTTAGGAAAACATAGATCTGCTACCCTCTGCATTTTCTTCAGCCAATAACTTGGATGTCCCTAGCTGTATAGCCTCTTGCAAAAGGTCTGGGCTCTTCCAGCATGATTTGGTTTAGTTCAGAGGAAGCCAGAGTTCTTTTGATGCAATTTACCACAAAAATGAGAATTCCTCCTTATGTTTGAGAGAACTTTGCAAAAGCTTCGGTCCCATCAGTGTCAACTGTAGTTCACAATAAAGCTCTGGTATTTATATCAGCAATACTTTTTTTAAAGCAGACATCCTGAAAATAGCTGGATGTATTCCTCACTTATTCCTCACTCAGGTGTAGATGTTGATAGGACCTGAAAATTCACTGTTCTTGCAAAGGCAGTTGTTAAAACCAGATTAGTTTTACAGGTACACTTGACTGAATGGTGTGGATGAACCTCTGTGTGCTCATGTCTGCTTAGTGTCCCTGCATTAAAATGTCACCATGTGTAACTGTGGCAGTCAGGGAGACCTTTCTGGATGTAGACAACTGAAGTGGAAGAATCCTGTGTGCAGGATTTCATGGTATAGCACATATGTACATACAGCCTGCCTTTCCCTGCTGCTTAAGAGGCAGTGACTAAATTGATCTGGTTTTGAAGGACAGTGTAAGTGTGGATTTGAAGTAATGCAGTTGTATTTATGGTGTGAGCATCTGCCCTTGAATAGGGGCTACTGGAGAAAGTGATTTTTACTGTATGTCTGGTCTGTATTGAGTATTTCCATAGAGCCAAAATAGGAGATTAATGAACAGGAATGCGTATTTAGCTTTTGCTTATTTACAGAGATTTATCATAATTACTCTTTTTTTGTTGGTGGTCAACTTGAAGCAAGAATTTGGATGAACAAAAGGAGAGTCCTAGAACTTCTTTCAGAAAAATGAGAGGAAACAACTTGTCTGCTTGAATACTGCTGTGATTAACTGCTTTTTCCAAGACAAATGCTCAAAAATTGTGGGTGTTAGAGAAACGTTCCCTGCACTCTCCTTGTCTGTGAGGAGTGCTATTTAGACTGTACCCTTTGAAGGACCCTGGTTTCCTCTAAATATAATATTTAGTGACCAGTCACACCGTTTATTCTTTATTTTTAATTTTTTTTTTAATTTTATTTTTTGTATGGTAGTAGGATTGAGTGGAGTGCTGCCGCTTAGGAGCTGTATTTCCTGTGCTTTTCATCAAGCTATTGTAATTTTCCTTGGACATAACAGAATGTTGCTTCGATGGTAGTGCTATAATTAACTTGGAGACAAACTTCCTTTATTTCCTCTGTAGGTAATATGCAGGGATATGAGTCAGTAATAACCAATTACCTTGTTTACAGTGAAGTTATCCTTAAGTGCCCTTGAACTGTACCAACAATAAATGCGGAGCATCTTAACTCTTCTTTTGGCTTCGTTATGTGTGAAAAACAGAGGCATTAAACTGGACTCATAATTAGTAGGATCTCCTACAACCTGTCCTGTTCTGTGGGAATTATGGCTTTGGAATTCTTGTCAAGAGGACTGGGTATTGACTTTGATCTGAAAATAGATATAGCTTAATTAGATACAGCTTAATTACTGATGGACAAGGGCATGATGGGACAGTGAAGAAAAACAGCTTCCAGGTGCTTCCTGTCAGCTGCAGAATAACAGATACCAATACTGGGTGACAAAGCTTTCCTCTCACAGATGTATGTGGAAGCTGAAGATGCTTTGTGGTTGGGATATTTACCTTAACTCTTCTTTTTTCTTTCTAGAAGTTTTTCATAGATCTGGATAAGAATTAAGACTTGGATTTTGAAGTGTTTGAGCAAGTTACTACTGCCCAAGTCATGACGCTTCCGTTTCGAAAGGACTTGGACAAGTACAAAGATCTCGATGAGGATGAAATTCTTGGCAAACTTTCAGAAGAAGAACTGAAACAACTGGAAACTGTTTTGGATGATCTTGACCCTGAGGTAGGCATTAGCCAAGACAAGTTTTATTTTTTTCATTTGTTCCATTACTAGTCTAAAATAAATTGAGATTCTGTACAATATACTTTTGGACAGAGTTTTTCATAGCCTGCTGATGATCTCACAGATATATATGTGTATATAATGCTTATTTCCTGTTTCCAAGGTGGACACAACTGCAGTAAAGAAGCACATAAGAAGGGATAGTTGGGAGGAGCTTTCTGGGATTTATTTATAAATAAGAATTTCTGTTGTTCATGTTCTTGAAAAGAAAGTTTATTTAGAAATGCCTGTTTAACTTTCCTGTTTCCAGCGCTGTCTGGTAAACAGCCCTTTTGAATCCACGTTTGTTTTATTATTTCTGCTGTGGAGTTTGGTGGGAGTGGGAGGGTGCCAAACTCTTCTAATGATTCCTGGTCCTGTAGCTTATATCTATTCCTGTCCTCATGCTGACTTTGTGAAGAGAAATAAATAATTGCTAAACTCCTGATTTATGTCAGCATGGAGTATTGAATAAGGAATATTTCAGCTACAAAGAGCTGAGTTGTCCTCTCCAGATATTGGAGTTATGTCAGACTTCAAGACTTGTTTTCACCTCATGGTTCTCTGTTTTCGCTTTAATAAAACCAGGAATAGTTTAATCTTCATGTTCAAGAATCAGTTCAGAATACTGTGATCACCTATTTTGTTGCACTGCAAGGTATTACTGATATTTTAAATCCCTTTGACTTTAGGGCTATTTTAACAGAGGAGAACTGGCAAAAGGGAGTGGCTGTCTTTTATGGCAGTCAGAATTGAACATTCTGGTCATTCTGTACTAATATCCTTTTTTCTTTCTGTTTAGTTGAAATATGCTGATGTTACCAAAGAAACATCCCACCTTGAGTCAGGTCAAAACCATAAGTACTCTGTGTTGAAATAATAGTAGAGTTGGTTGTCTTAAAGACTTAAAATCACGTGGATGTAAGTGACAGAGGAAACAGTCTCTTGCTGAATGTCTAAACTCTAAATAGCTGAGTTTTATTTAGTGCTGCTCATTTAAACAGTGCTGATTCTAGCAAACAAATACAAAGTAGCTGGCAAGCTGAGTGCTGGGAGCTATTGTACCTAAAGAATTGCTTCAGTCCTACTGAGCATGCAGTATGCTGTATTTTCATTATATTCTCCATGTCTAGATTACCTTGTGTCCTTCCCTGCCCCAAAAAAAGGAAGTTGGCAGAGGATCAAAGATTGCCTACAAAAGATGATGTATCAGGGCTGAACCTTGCAGAGAGGGAGAAGGAAGAGGGAAATGAAACTAAGCAGGTGCTCACCCAGACTTTCTAAGCTGTCATTCTTTGCTCCATTTGTTTTGCAGAACGCGCTGCTGCCTGCAGGCTTCCGGCAGAAAGACCAGACTGCCAAGAAGGCCTCAGGTCCCTTCGACAGGGAGCGGCTCCTGGCATATTTGGAGAAGCAGGCGCTGGAGTACAAGGACAGGGAAGACTATGTGCCTTTTACAAGAGAAAAGAAAGGTAACACCACCCTTTCCGGTGTAAGTGCTTATGAAATCTCTGAAGTGCATGAGCCAGAGCTACTGTGAACCAAATCTGATTGAAGCACTGGCAGCTATAATGCTGTAATGCTTTTAACTCACAGTTTTTCCAAATGGCTGTTGCTGTGCAGGGCCAGGAGGCTTCCTGTTCAGGCATTTGTGCTGCTGGGGCCGGTGTGCTCTTTGTGTGTAGCACAGGAAGGAAATAAGACTCAGAGATTTTATCATAGATTGCAAAGTTCTGATGGGCATGGTATCCTCAAAGTACGAGCTAACTCTGATTTATGTCAATAATAACAAATGGTGTCATTGTGCCTGTGGTTTATGCCTCATGCTGAATACAGACAGCAACCTTTGTAACACTGTGTTGGATTAGAGAAATAGCAGTTGAATGATGTTGTGGTAGACAGTAATGTTCAAAGATGATGTAGGCTGACAAGGCCAGGCAAGTGGTGTATGTAGTCATGGTGTTTTTCTAGCATCCTTACTGAAAGGTTTAATAAGATTGCATAGTTACTCCTAACTAATTATATAGTTAACATCACATGTTTTGAAATCTGGCAGTGGTTTGTGGTCTGAAAACCATGGACATGTTATTAAGGCTTGGGATTTTAAATTTTTGCTTTGGATCTAGTATTTTCATTGACTTGATGGGAAGCATTCTCCTTTTCAGAAGAAAATTGAAAAAGAATATGCTTCTTAAATATTGCAAGAGCAACTCTTTATTTTTTTTTTTTCCCACCTGAAACAGAAGTTCCCAAATTCGTTGAGCCTTACAAATCATTGTTGGTAGGCACAGACACTCTCAGACCTGTGCAGGTCACATATGCAGCATATGCACAGGAGCAGGCTTTTAGCTGTCACCACAGTGTTTGAGCACTGCTTGTGGCTCATGTGAACCTTCCCCAGCAGCAGGGCAGATTTGCTGCACTAATACTTCAGTAAATTGTTTCCTAAGTTGTAGTCCAGCTGCTCAAGATGAGCAGTCTCCTCTTTTCTTAAGGGTTTCAAACCCTTAAATTCTACTTAATTATCTGCTGTGAATCATTGCTTATTTCAGAATTGAGTCTTCATTCATCCACTGAGTTTGTGTATATGATTGTGGGGTCTATTTGGTGAAAATTTTGTTAGGGGTATTTGCATTTTCTCTGGTGTCAGATCGCTTTACCTGGAAATGCTGGTGCCTCCCTTTTTTTTCTTGTAAATAATAATAATAAGTAATAGGGAGATTGTGACTTTACAGTGTGCTGCACTGTATATGGTGGACTGACTTCATAGAGTGTTTTTGCTTTATTTAGTTAACTCCCTTTGTGTTGAGAGATATGTGACACTCCTTTGGTGACAGTAGAACAGGGTTTGCTGAAGCTGTAGGAGTAATGCAGTGAAGGACAATGTAATGGACTGTAGAAGGCAGAGCACCCAGAGCAGCAGTGCCCTCATGGTACCTCTGCTGCTGCCAAGTACCTGTTGGTGTGTGCCTGCCTTCTGCTGCTCTCCTGACATTTGCCAGTCTGTGCTGGAGTCAGACTGATGGTTAAGTGTGATAGAGTTTGGTATATTTGGGGCTCATAGGTGATTGGGGAATCCCTTGCATCCTGTGCACTGCTCTGTCAGGGCGTGAGCTGGGCAAGGAGGATGTGCTCTCATACTACATTTTCTGCTGACTGCTAGTTATTCTTTCACAAAGATGCCTCTCTAAAGTCAGCTTATGTCTACATGCACACATAAAAGTATTTGCTTGGGTAGATAAAATCTGTGAGAATCTTGTAGAGAAACAGAAGGATCCAGCTGTATCGCAGAGCTTGATTAAGAAAGATCAAATGTCATTTCCTTTATGTAATAAAGTATTACTAAATAGTCTGTCTGCATGTTGCAATGAGTCACATCAGTGTAGTTTGTAAAATTTCCTGTATCTCATAAAAAAAAGTTGCTATTTGGTAACTTCTGTCGTTTATTTTAGTGCTGTAGGAGAAGAGAAAATAAAAAATGGGTTGTAGATTACTTCTATTAAAACTAAAAATGTGGGAACAAATGTTTAGTATCCAAATTGATGCTCTACTGAGTGGGCAGGAGACAAGAAGGTCAAGCTCAAACAGGTCAAGTTGTAGTAGGTGAGGAATAACCTTTTGTTTTGCCCTTATGAAAGTATTATGGTTCAACTTTGACTTGCTGCCCCATTTGTTGCCATTTTGCACAAAAATGGCAAATGTAAATAACTTAATCTTTTAAGTCAGGAATTCATTATATTTGTCTAGATGTCGAACTTGGAAAGGGCATGGGGTGCAACTTAATACTTGTGTATTTTTTTCTGTAGGGGACTTGTATCCTAATGTGCTTTTCATTAATATTAAAATAGACCAACAGACAACTAAGCTGGGTTATAATTTTTCACTTCATCTAGAAATACATGTTATGGAGAAACGACACTAGTGATTTGTGAAATAAGGGCAGGTGAAAATCTTGCTTGATTCTCCTGTTAATTTAGGAGAAAGGTGATAAATGTAACTTTCACTTCCAAAGGTTTTGAGAGGACAGAGATGGATTGGAGCTGCAGCTGGTTTTATTATTGCCATTTTTAGGTCAGAATTTGCTAAAATATGTATGTGTCTCTGGTTGGTCTTGTTGCTTTAATTTGTTCCAATTATTCATTTCATGGAGCAAGAAGAGGAAAATCTACCCTTCTCTTTCCTTTTTCTATTTTAGTGGAACTGATGTCCTGCATGGTGATTTGGTCTGCAGATTTGTCAAAGAAGCTTACCCTAGGTTAATTTTAAATATCCTGTCTTGCTACTGATTCTGGTAACCTTGTTTTCCTACTGGAGTGTGAAGGAAAATACTTCCAGATGCCTCAAGTATCTAATTTTGGGGTACCATATTATTAAAATAATGTTGCTTATCTTTCACTGATGGATGATGTAATTTCTCCAGGTCTTTGGAACCTCTTTTGTTTTGTGCTGTGGCATGTGGAAGACCTGAAGTCATGTAAAAGTATCCTGCTGTGGTGAAATGAACAGTGCTGAAGAAATGTGTAGTTTAATCCCTAAATCATACTCTATTCCATTTTCCCAGTGCCTTGATTTTGTTTCTAAAAGCATCCTTTAAAACTTACTTTGTTTTAAAATGCAATTTGATGATTTAAGTCACATTCTTTTCCAATTAAGTGTTGAACCATACAGTAAACCATTGTTCAAGAGATTCATGAAACCAATATGGTAATAATTGCAACAAAACTAGCTTTGTCTCAGTGTCTGTGTGTAAGTACGTCATAAAGATTTTACAGGGTGTACTGCAAGGAGGAGGAGCTCTCATCCAAACAGTAAAGCAAGGCTTCAGCACTGAAGGCTGTTGCCCTCAAGTGTGTTCCACTCATCTGAGTCAGACCAATGCTCCTTCTCCCTTCTCTTGGAGCAGCTGCAGAAGAGAATTATTGCAGCTGAGATACAAACATATCTGAGATAGTAATGTACTTTGTGCTGTATAGTGCAAGGCACTAGCCAAGTATTGTGTAAACCAAGCTTTTCATTTCTAGCCTTTGCACTCTCATAATTGTGGCTTTCTCTTTCCTTTGCGTTCCTGTCTGGGTGTGTTTGTTCTGTGTAGATTTGCAGTTCATGTAGCTTCTGCTTTAGGCTTGGTTTGGTTTGGATTTTCCCCTTCTCTATCACCCAGAAAACACATGGAAACTGTAGCCACCTGGCTCTTTTGTTGGCAACCTGCTCAGTTGTTGCTCTAGATCACTGTTGCCTTCTGTTCCAGCAGGATTTGGAATGCTGTGTTTTCTGTTTACCATTGAATCACTTTAAAGTCTTTAAAGGAAGTGTGTTGCATGTTGTGAACTAATATCCTGTAGGAGCTTTGCAGAAACAGCTTGTCAAATTGATATTCTCCATACAAGAGCATTAGAACAAAATAACATGTGATACTCCAGCCTTAATGTAAAACAGTTTTCTAATTCACTGCTATGTGGCCTGTAATCAGATAGCAGATAACAGCTCTGCTTCTGCACTAAGACATTGAGGAACTCACTTGTAAGTTGAATTAAAAACATTAATATTAAATTGTGCTTATAAGTGAATTGGTAAACATAAGTCTGTTACATGGTAAGAACTAGAGACTGATGAAGTGTGGATTATACAAATTTCTGAACTAAGGAGAGTTTAAGGAACATAAGATGTAAGGAATACGTCAGATGTTGCTCACTTTTCTTCATGAAGTCAGTGATGAGAAAAGCTTGTATTCAGTTAGCACTTGATCTGTTTCCCCAAACGGGGTACCCCAAAAGTGGATTTTAGACTTTCCTCTGCTGTGCACGGTGTGGCTGCCTGCTAGTGTGGGGTATGGGAGAATAGTACCCAGCAATGTGCAGTGCATGGCCCCACTGAACTGATTCGTGCAAAGTACTGAGTCCCACCTGAGATCTGTAAATCTGTGTGGGAAATGTCCAGGGCACTTCAATAAACACCGTCAAGTGTTCCTGCCTTTAGAGCAATACCATTGGGTGGAACTTGGAACTGAAAATTCATTCTGTAGCAGAGGCCTGTGACTTAATCCTGGATGTGCATAATCTAACATGTTAGCTTAAAGGCATGGAATGCCTGCCTATATAATTATTACAAAAACGATGGGAACATCCCTGAAATTTGCCTCTTCATGTTGTACCTTTGCAGTGTCCTGGCTGGCTGAAAAGGAGCTGTCATGTTCCTTCATGTAATCAAATCCGGCTATTTGGAAATGTTCCACTTGAGGGCCAGGCAAGCTGCACATCTCATGGGCTGCACAGATGTGTAGTGGTTTTTGGTTTTGTTTAAAGCTTGCATTAGTAAGGGGGACTTGCTGAACTGTACTGGCAGCAGGCCTTGAGTGAGATCATTGTCCCCAGAGACACAGGGGTCTTGCCCTGCTGGAAGTAACTTCATTGCTAGAAGTGGGGAGTGGGAGGGACCTACTTTTGTATGTGCATTGTAAACTTCTGATTTCTGGTCTAGGACGAGATGAAGCAAATGAATGAGAAATTATGTACACAAGGGTGTGACTTTTTTTATAAAACATACTGCTTCTGGCCCAGCTCATATGACTGGAGTTGGCTGCAGTGAATGTTTCTGGAGGGCAGTGGCTTTTAACATTTTTGCTTTATTAAAAACTGATTAGACTTCCCACTCTCTAGGTTTTGTAAAGAGTCAGGCATGTATGGATAAGTTTAGTATTACTCTTAGGAAGCAAATACTTGAACCAGATGTTTCTAACCTATGAATTTATGAATTACTGAACAGCAACATCAGGAAAAGTAGTTCTTTTTTGTTTTGAGCAGTCTGGGATGAACCAGACAGAAGGCTGAACTAGGTTAAAATATATTTTTGCCAAGTTGCTTTTAACTGAGATCAATTTCTTCTTCTTGGTCTCTTCCTGCTGCACTGATGCTGCAAATAGGATGTCTGGACAAAGGCTCAGGTGCTCAAATCCCACTATCCTCTTTTCTTGGACTCCAAAATCCTCACCTTTTTTACTAGCCCATATTACTGAGGGAAAATAACACAAACATAGCTTCTGAAAGGCTTTTAGAGCATGTGAATGCTGCTCAGAGTGCTTAATGGATTAATGAAAAGCTTGTTTCTTTTTCATTCTTGAATCTCTTCTATAAACTACAGTTTAAGTTAAAGGTTAATCTCTCCCCAGTAGGTGATGCTGGTAAAATTAAATTATAGAAATGTATTGCATCATTTATATCAAAACAACCAGAAACAATTGCTACATAAGCCTTCAATTTATGAAGGTTTTCTTTTAATCCTGAATCACCAACAGTTTCTTTTGCACTGTCCATCAAAGCTGAGGTATGGGTGGTAATGCATGTCAGCTGCACTTAACTATTGTTTGGAATCAATACAGTTATGTAACGAGGTTTATTTTCCGCTTCTAAATATGGATAATGACCATTTAGACAAGTTTCCAAAGAGATAGCAACCCAGGAACAAAAATACCGTGTTGCTAGCAACAACTCTTGGTCATCAGACTGTGTTGTCAGAGAAACACCTGATATGCTTCTCTGTAATCTGTGCTAGTGGGAGTGCATTAACTTCCTTTAAAAGGAAAATGACCACAAACTACTGTAATCTAGAGAAGACATGGAATACACAATTTGGGGTTTTGTGATGCTAAACTCCACCAAGTATCAGTGTAACTGGGACATTGGGATGAGGATGATTCCTCTGTGGAATCAGAATTTTTTAGCTATGGATATGGCAGAGGGTGGGCTCCTGAATTAGGACTGAGACTTCATTGGGTGATTATCAACACTGCTTCCTACCCCAGGAAATAACAAAAGGAAACTCCTTTCCCACTGCTCTTTCTGCTGATAGCTCAGGCAACTTGTAAAGTTGGAAAAACTTGAACCTTAAATAGCTGTTAAGATTTGCTTCACAGTTGTGGAGTTGTGAACGATTTCTCTCAAATGCATCTGTATAAGAGCTTTTGTTTGCCATGGTAATTTGTCCTGAACCTGAGCACCCCTTACCTGTCCTGGCTCTTACCCAATGGAAAACTCCTTTGTTCTGAAGGACCGGTTCTAAACCATTCATAGCTGAACTGTTAGAAAGGCTTTCTCATACTCTGATTTCCTACCCTAACTTTCCAGCTAAAGATGCTGGAATTAATGGTAACTACACAGACCTCTACCTAATTCATATCTTCTAAAGTAACTTTTCCCATTACCTGCCTGTAATAACTTGAAAGTTGGTGTACAATGTAATATTACTCTTGGTTCTTATGCCCTTAAATCTTTGATGATGTTTTTTGTCATTTTACAAAACAGTGTCACTGGCAGAGAAATCTGTTACCATGTTTTGTGCTGTTCACAAACCATGGTTTTCTTAAGCAGCTTTGTTTTTTTGCTGCAGAGCTGATGTTATTATCTGAAATCAGAAATAGTGTGTATGGTGTAAAAGCTGCAGTGAATAGCCAGGTGTGTGATTTCAGATAACTCTGTGATATTCTCTCTGACACATTCAGATTACAGTTCTGCCTGGGTCCCTTTTTCCCTTGAGAGGAAACTCAGCATTCTCTAGTGATACTAAATTTTTCTTACAATCTTTCTAGACTGTTCAAAATGTATAATGGAAGTTTATATGTTACTTTCTAATCCTTAGGAGAAACAGATAAGGTTGGAATAATGATCCAGGCTCTTGAAAATTTATTCCTGTTTATGCTCTTTCCTCATCTCTGACAACAGAAGACCCCTTTATGTTGTCTGTGGTTCTTCTAGTATTCACTGAATGTAATATGTATTCTTTAACTACTTAGTATTTGAAAGATAAGTAGCTATACAATACAAAGTAATGTCAGATTTTCCGTTTTGTTTACTCCAGGGAAAATATTTATCCCCAAGCAAAAGCCTGTACAGTCTTTCACAGAAGAAAAATTCACTCTTGATCCAGAACTGGAGGAAGCCTTGACCAGTGCCACAGACACAGAATTAGGTGACCTTGCAGGTGAGGTTTTTTTGAAGGATGAATGGGCTGGTAGATATTTAGACCAGAAAGATCTATAATTAATGTGGTGGTGTATTAATCTGACTACGGCATATTGCAGTTGTGATAGAAATTAGATTACATTGTTTGCCAGTTTGTTTTTCACCTTTGTTGATTTGTGATAATTTGTGAGGAAAGTAATTATTTGGCGTGCAAAAGATACCTGATTTTCAAAATCAAAACCTTGAAATCCTTTCCTCAGACTGGCTGTTTTTTGATGTGTATGTGACTTTTTTTTCTTGTGTACAACAATGTGTTTGTATGTGCCTGTATTCCTAAAGCTTCATTTTGTGACTGAGCTGCACTTTTTAATGTTGGTGCTTGAACCTGGTGAGGTCACAACTTTCTAAGATGTGAAAGTCAACTAAAATGTCTATAATCATTTATTTTTTCTCCTTTTTTTTTCAAATTATTAAGATATTGAATGTCTTTTTGAACTGATAAATATTGTACAAACATCAGGTTTTGTTATTTAAAGTAACCCTGCATCTGAGCTGAATTAGTCAAGAAAAGTAAAATCTATTTTTTGCTTTTTCTTTTATTTCTTTTTCAGCAATACTGGGAATGTCCAACTTAATAACAAACAATCAGTTCTGTGATGTAGTAGGAAGCAGTAATGGGGTTGACAAAGACAGCTTCTCAAGTAAGTGTGTACACGAGTGCTAGAAAAATCAATTGTCTGTACTGCACACAGTTACTATTGTATTAACTGTTTTCTGTTGCACCAACATTCTTTTAGACTCTTAAATCTTAGTCTGGAAATGTGTATGCCTATAGCATTGCTAATTGAGTTCTGTCAAGAGTGGAATTAAAATATGTGTACACTAAAGTGTTGTCCTCTGTATTTAAGTCACTTTTTGGTGACAAAAGTAGGCATAAGTGTGCATTGTGTGTGTTGGTTCTTTGGTTTTATATCTGTGTTTGTAATTCAGCTCCTATGTGCTTTCTGCAAATAAAGCAGAAAGGCTGTGAGGACCTTTGAAAAAGAGTTGAACTTTATGAAAATATGGTCAGGAGAGGATGGTATGCTTTTTTGGTGGGGGATGAAATGATCTTTAAATACAGTAAATATTTAGTATGTGTATCATTTATTCACAATGCATATGTGCAACCTGTTTGATTACACTTAAATGCCTTACTTTTCAGATATAGTAAAAGGTGAAAAAATGTTGCCTGTTTTTGATGAACCACCAAATCCTACAAACGTGGAGGAGACACTGCAAAGGATTAAAGATAATGATTCTCGTCTTGTTGAAGTTAATTTAAATAATATTAAGGTAATTACCTGAAGACTGCAGTAAATATGCTGCTTTTTCTCAGTAGAAGACACTTCAAGCTACAAAACTCTCTAAGAGAGCATGATAGGCTTATTCTAAGTACAGCATTCTTTCTGCTGAATGTTGTAGTGTGTATAAGCTCAGAACCTGCAGCTAAACCGATAAGCCATCTTGGTTTCTTTTGCCAAATGTGTATTTAAAAAGTCTTAGACTTTCTCACTGCCAGCCCAGATTTCTGTTGCTGCCAAGTTGGCAGAAATTCCAGTAGTTCATTATCATGGAGTTAACTACTTTGTTTGTTAAATCCTTTGTCCTTGATAAAGCAAGCAAAGGGATATTTGTGCCTGACATCCTTCTGATTCTTGCACAAAAAGGCTGGTGGAAGTTAGGGCAGCTTCTGCTCCCAAGTGTAACAGTTGTGTTTTCACACGTGATAAGCTTTTGTATATTTGTTTGAAAGAAACCAGATCTGCAGCACCCCTGACTTGCAGTGCAGACTCCAGGGACAGCCTCGCCAGTGGCCAGGGCTGTTTGTTCCCCTTACTAAAGGAGAGAAGTAAAATCCATTCACTGTGGAATAGTGTGTAACAGGTAAATGCTAGCCAAAATATCTGCCTAAAAAGATCAAAGTTTCTGACACAGTAAACTGAGATATTTGCTACCCTAATTAATTCTTTAAAATTATTCCTTTTAAGCTGAGTTGCTACTGTAATGTAAAAATGGCTGCTTTGCAGAATTGGAGAGTTACAGCTGTTGCATCTTAGGGTAGGTCTTCACTGTGAGACTTCTGGAGACCAGTGGTAGTTAATACTGTAGAGCATTTTGCCGTAAAGAGAATAAGATAGTGGGAGAAGTTGGGGGGAGGGGATAAACTTGTGTATCTCAAGAGAGTGAAATGCTATTTTTAATTCAAGAACATACCAATTCCAACGCTGAAAGAATTTGCAAAAGCCTTAGAAACCAACACACATGTGAAGAATTTTAGCCTGGCAGCCACCCGAAGCAATGATCCTGTTGCTGTTGTAAGTATTCATGATAACGGCTCTAAGTGGGGTGCAAAGGAAGTTAGGATGGAAAGGCAATGGGAGGGGATTGAATTTAATCCAGTTTAAATATTCAGGGATGAAAATGATTCCATTTTGCTACACGGTAAAGTATGTTTTCTTTAACAAAACTTTGTTGTATCTAAGTTGGTAAATGATTACTGGTAACTTAATATGCAGCAATGCCTCAGATGTGTGAGGGAAAATTCTTTTTTCCAGCCCCTTTCTCTGATTTTTCATTTTGCTAACCTCCTTCCTTTTTTTCTTTCTTTCCTAATTATTTAGTTCCTGCTGTTCATTCCAGTAGCCAGTAGTTTATTCAGGGTTAATTTACGAGAAGCACATTTGAGGACTTAAAAACACCCACTTAAAAAGTCAACTAACTAAAGTTTTAGTTGAAGTTGTAAAATACCTGTTTCTCTATCTCCCTGCTACCAAAGATTGGCTTAAAATATTAGTATATAAAACATAATATTAGTCAAAGTATCTAGCTTGATGCAATTGAAACTTAAATATAATTTATAGTCAAGTTGTTTTTTTCTATATTGAATTAAAGCAGTACCTTATTTAATTACAAATAAAGTCGTAAGAAAACAAAACTAATTGTTTTGCCAGGACAATCCTTTGCACTTGTTTTAAATTCAAATTAGAAAAAAAAGCAACTAGTTTGAAAGACTCTGTTAAATGAGTAAATGAGCATTTGAAAGCTTTGGGTTTGGGTCAGTTAAAAAGTTTCTTTTCAGCAGAACTAAAACATGTAATAAAAATCTATATGGCCTCTTTTCTCAGATGGGGTTTTTTTGTATTGTGACTTGATAGAAAAAAAATTCAAAGGGTACCGTTTTTCTGACAGTAAACTCAGCAGTTAGCCATTCCTGTTTTCTTCCTTTCTCAGAAATAACATCAGGTATAAAAGTGCCTTTAGCTACATGCTGGTACTATGCTTAGAGCTTTGAATTTTACCTGTTCCTATCAAATCTGTAGACAAAAGCATTTTGAAAGTCAGATCTCCTGTTTACAAATTAACCATATCTAATTCTCCTCTCAGTTGAATAACGCCCTTTCTTTGGCCTTTGCTTAGCAGCCTGCATTGCTTGTTGTGTGCTGTGAAGGCTTACAAAATGGAATTGGTCCAATATGCTAATTTCAGACAATTTATATTCTGTGTAGCCTTTTAGTTTGTAACAAGAGAAAGACAGGCCTTCTCTTGACTGAATGCTATTTAAAAAAGGAATGTAGATAATGCTGGCTGAAGACTCAGTCTAGTAAATGGAAGCTTGTGAAGTTACACCTTGAATCTGAACTTGCTGCTTCCACAGAACTAGTTAGTGGAAGTAGTTATTGCTGTGTCCTGTGAGGCACTGCATCAAAATGCCAAAGTTTAATGATGCTTTTTTATATTCAAAGGCTCTTGCAGACATGCTGAGAGTAAACACAAAATTAAAAAGTTTGAACATAGAATCAAACTTCATCACTGGAGTTGGAATTCTGGCATTGGTTGATGCATTGAAAGACAATGAAACGTTGACAGAGATCAAAATTGATAATCAGGTAAGTGAGATGGTGGTGATACCATAGCTAAACTTAGCCAGTCCTAATTGACTGAATATTTTTAGAAGACAGCTTGTGATAAACTCTTCAAATATTTTATGTTTAATTGTCTTAACACCATCAACAATTGCCCTTAAGATGGTCAGAAGCATCCAGCTGAGGTTGATTTCTGGTCATTTCTGTGCTACCTTGTGCTTTAAAGCACATAAAAATATATGTACAGACATATTTTAGGACCTTCTGCCTATTTGAGTAACTAGAATGAAGCTGAGTGTTTATTGACTGATATGGGGAAAGTATTTTGATCTCTTTGAGGATGAACACACATAAGCTCTGTTGTCTTTGTGTACCTTCTGTTCTAACAGAGGCAGCAGCTGGGCACAGCTGCAGAAGTAGAAATTGCCAAGATGCTTGAAGAAAACAACAAGATCCTCAAATTTGGATACCATTTTACACAACAGGGACCTCGAGCCAGGGCAGCTGCAGCTATCACAAAAAACAATGATTTGGGTAAGATCAAATTATTATTAACTGAATGGGTGTGTGGCACATGCTTTACAGGTGTCTGGTTATTCCCCTTCTCCCTTGACTAAACCAGGATAGCATAAGATTAGTAGACCAGTTTCAGGTTTCTCCTGTGCTTTGCTCCTTCTTTTTTTTTGCTGCTTGATGTTTTCTATTTTGTTACAGGGTGTTCAGGTACATGAGTGGAGGATTTTTAGCATAATCTAGAACAGGAGCATCCAAATTTTGTGTGAATTGTGGCAAAGGGAGTGAAAATATTAGTTTTGATCACTTGGTTGTATTCAGATAAGATGCATTTCTTCTTTTAAAGCAGTACTTGAAATTAAGGGGATAGGATGCCCTGTTCAATGCCAGTATCCCAATGTCACCAGGATTGCTTAAGCAAGGAACTGAACATACTGTCATGTACAGAGGCTGAGACTGGGTAATCTCTCCCTTGGTGGTTCTGTTCATGTACAAGTAGCTGATAGCAGTGGCATCTTTATTTGCTGCAGTCAGTTTTGTTGGAGCTCATCAGTTAGAATCCTAATTAAATGGATCAGCAAAAAATTGGTTAATAACATAGCACATGAACGGAAATCATTTGTATAATAATGTCAAATACTTGAAGCACTCAACTACAAAATAATGTCCATCTATTTAAACAGAACTGCATTTTAAAACTATTTCATTAAATCTTTTGGTTTTAGATGCTTTGTGGTGATACTCATCAGTGTGAAAAGGAGCCACCCAGTTTAGTAGAAGTAGCAGTAGTTAAGGAATATATTAGAGGGAATGACACAGGAAATTGGAATTTGGTTTAGAGATCTGATTCTTCTCTGAATAAAGGTTAAAGTGGAGGAGAACAGCTCTGAAAGATATGGATGAGTAACTAGAATAAAGCACAGAGAGATAAGAAAGGCACTCAGACACTGCATATCTGTTTCTCAAAATAGATTCTAAAGCAGTTGGGTTTTTTATCATAATGCTTCAGGTGTCTCACAGATTTCTAAGGTTTCCCCTCTCACTAGTTCTTTTATTACTGCTTGACTGTTCAAAATCTATGCTTCTATTGATATCTTGCCTGTTTTCCTTTGCTTTCTTAGTCTGGAGTATGCGAGTAAAAGTTTCTGCAAATACCTTTTCATCTCTCCAGCCCTGAAGCTACAGAGAAGGTTACTCTGAATACCCGCTTGGGTATTGAGCAGTGAAACTGGGATGTTCGAAGTCTCTCATTTCTCTCTTTGTACGTTCCTTCTAAAAAAAAAGTCTACATCTTCTGTTTTCTTGCTCACACTGTGTTGTACCACTTCCCTGTTCTTCGTATACTTTTAACTGCATGATTGGAGAAGTCTAGGGCTGGAAATTCTTTTCATCTGTTCTTGCAGTTTGATGAAAGCAGGTGTGAATAACTTCTGCCGCCTACTTTCCATTGAGTGGATTTGAGAACAGATTCACTTTCTTCTTACACAGATGTGCTTGCTTCACTTTTTTAAACAAAATGGAGATGTCCTTTATATTTTGTCCTTTGTGTCTTATAAGACCTTTAGTGCTATTTGCTTTGCACAGAAAAGGAAAACATAATTTGTTAGTGTGAAAAGAAAACATCAAAAATAATACAAATGTTGAGGAAAATTCCAGTAGTTCAACCAATATTGCATATTCTCAAATCCTAGTAGCATGTGAGCTTTTAGTTATTTTGTTCACAAATTTTTATTGCTCTTGCATTTTCTGACAATTGAATGCTTTTTATTAATAAATGTAAAGTTTTAGGCTGTAGATTGTAACATCTGTGTGTGTATAAATAGTGTTAGATATACTTTGAAGCTCTTGTAAAGCCATGTAAATTAAAGTCACCTCTAAAAAACTGCAAAACTGTAAAAAAAGAATTCTGACTAAATCTGCTTATCAGACATAAGACGATTAATGGTTCCCACAAGTCCTTCCTTGGAAATATTTGCAACTGCTTGTGAATAAGGCGATAAGCTCAGCTTATTTGCTTAAAAATGCTGTCTAATGCTAAGTTAGCTACCTTAATTTGTGCTACTTCATGTGACAAAGTAACTTCATGTTGTAGAAGCACAAAAAAATAGTTAAAATGCTAATATACCAAAACTTCTCTTTTTTGTCTCTCTTGCTGCAGTTCGGAAGAGAAGGGTTGAAGGAGACAATTAGAGCTGTTGCCAGAACTGTGGAGTCAGCACGGGCAGCACCGTGGGCTTTGGCAATCTTGGACTACATTGACCTGGGTTAGAAGGGAAAAGACTGGAAACCCCATTCCTTTTAAAGCAAAGCAATAGAATCATCTGCTGGTATGCAGCACGGTTTTGGGATGGATGGAAACACAGTAGTGTGCCAGTCTCTGTACCATAGGTTTTGATAGGGCTTTTTTAAGAACTTCTTTTGTATTTCAAGACTTTGGCTGTGCTTTCTACTAAAAATGTAATTGTAAATCAATGGTATAATTGTCTGTGGTCAAAGAATGGGACCTCTAATATCATTGGGCAGATACTGACCCAACTGAAACGTTTGCAAGAAAATCTGGGGGTGTGTATTTACGTGGAGGGGTGTGTGTATTCCTGACAACAATGCATTAGACAGAAGGGATTCTTCACCCAGCAGCTGGACTCGTGTAGAGCTGTTCAGCTTTGTTCATATGCACTGAAGAGAAATCTTTCACAGCAATGTTATTTGTAATTCTACTGTGTTGTTTTTTACTAGTTCTTGATACTGTGATGCAGTTCAAAGACATCCTTTTAAGCCAAACAAAAATAAATTGACTAAGGACTTCTCCCGGGAGATTAGAGGGACTAATACAAAAGTGGAAGTCTTGCGGAAAAAGAAAAAAAAAAATTAGGAGCCTTGCAAAATGAGTTTTTCTGTTACACCTAAATCCTTAAAGTCTTTTCAAAAGATCCTGTAGCTGTGTCTCACTCAGTATCTAAACTGGACACATTTTTAGACTGATTTCATGTGTTCATCACCATTATTTAGCTCATATTCTGTGTTTAAAAATTGTTATCTACATTCATGGGTATCAATTTCTCTAGAAGTAGTGAACATTCATATTTAAAATACTGCAGAACTGTACAGGAAGAACAGCCTTAACTGTAAAACCACTGACCTAAGTTGTATTACATTAAGCTATTTGTACTTCATACAAATCTAACAGTTTTTAATAATGAAGTAACACTTTTTAAGTGTTTTTCCATTCTATATCTGTGTTTACGTTGAAACACTACCTTAAGACATGCAAAAACTAACCAATATGTAGTGTCAAATCTCTAGGGTATAGTCATTATTAAAGTGTTTAAAGTTCTATAAGCAAAATAATAAGGCAACAAGAATCACTTCAACTTCTGCACATAATCACAGTACACTTTGAAATATTAAAATCTAGAAGTTTTTTGGTGTAGGTCTGTTTGGACTGTCTTGTACTAGTTTGCTTTGAGATCACAAAAATATTCTACAGGACTGCTTGGCTGTATTTATAGCAACAGAGAATTCAACTGACAACTGCTTTCATCCAAAGATCATAATGAGCATTTATGTGTAGAAAACATATTGGGCTGAGAATTTTGCATCAGGTTGTATATACTATAAAAACAGAGCATTGTGCCCACATTGCAATTTGCTGCAAATCTTGGTTTGGATCTTTAAAGACAGACTTTATTCTGGAGGTGGCTTCAAATTTTACTGCAACTGTACAGAGAATTTTGAACTACAGTGCCTTCAGTAGGGATGTATATAACTGGTTTATACTCACGGAAGAACCTTTTTTTTCCCCTATTTCTAAATCAGCCTTTTATTAGAATTACAAATAAATATCTGCTCTGAAAACCAAGTTGGAACTAATTCAGTTAAAACCAAAGACTACACTTACTGTAACCTCACAACAACATCAGAAGTGTTCTGTTGAGTAACAAAAAGGGCTTATTTTGGTTTGGGCTTTTGTAAATTTTCAAGAACTTTTTAGATTTTAAAATAAACTTTGAAATAGTTCTAATACAGTATGCATACAGGCACAAGTTAAGTGTCCTTTTACAGACAGACACTGCTGTATAAACATGGCCAAAGCATGTCATGTGCTGAGTTGCCTAAAGCTGTACTTTACTTTTTATTTGCTAGGCACCGTAATCATTTTGTGTCAAAAAACAGGCTATAATATCTTCCTTCATTTGTTGAAGGGCTGCATGTTCACAGAATCTGTTCATGTATTGGGATTCTAGGATGAGTTATTTTATCACTGCCTAGAAAGATTAGGCAGTTATTGCCGACTTGAACATGAAGGAGAAAGCTGAAAGGCTGGATTATGGAAATAATAGCCCAAATCAATTTCTTGCTTTTACTAAATCAAGTTTGGCTGTATAATTATTTATATTCCAATCAAAGGCAGGGCCATTTATGTTGCAGCTCTCAGGTGTCCTGTCACAAATGATAGTATTGGACCCTAATAAATGGTTTAGCTCTGTGGACAACAGCTAAAAATTTGACTGCTTATGGACTGCTTCAGTACAGATACCTGACAGGCTGGGCATGGAAAACCAATATTTTCAACTAGAAGGGTTTAATAATCCAAATTGTTGCAAGACCTTTGGCATGGTGCATGGAACAGTTAACAGCAATCACTTTTGTGCCTGCAGTGTGTATCCTTTTTGGAATAAATGATAAAATTCAGTCTGTAGCCAGGAACCTTCAACAGTCTCAACAAAAGCACGGCTATAATGTCATTGAGTGTGGTGAGATCCTGCATATGGCTTCACTGAGTGTGAGTGCAGGGGTGGTACTACTTTAATAACCAGTTACCATAAACACAAGGTCTTTTTTCCTAAAGAGATACTGTTTTTTTACTCGATTATTTTTCCAGCTTAAAGCAAGAAATCAAATGACCGCATATGTTGATTCTGTTGGTTTGAAGCTTAGCATGGAAACATAACCAATATTTCAGAGCAAATACCTATTTAGTCTTGTATTTTAAATAGCCTCATTCTCTCTACAGCTTGAGTAATCCTGCGTTTGTAAGCTACAAACGAGTTAAGTGTTCAATTTAAATTTCCATTGGGGAAACAGGTATTGAGTATTTTAGCATATCAGTACTATATGCTGTCAGATTGTATAACAGTTACAAATTTTTGGATGATTAAAGTACTGTATTCTTGTTGTGGCTTCGGGAGTTTGTTCGCTTTTTTCAGTAGTGTACTGCCTTGCTTGACCCCCTGGTATTTATATCGGCGCCTTTCCCCAGCAGGGGCGGGCGGCCCGGGGCGGCGCTGAGGGGGGCGCTTTCCCTCAGCACGGGGCGGGGAGCGCGGGAGCAGCGCCGCCATAACGGCACCTTGCGGCGGGAGC